TTTACCTTGAAAATGGCCTTATGTGACAGCAATTACTATGCTCCATAAGGTCCATTTTCAAGACAAAAGATTCCAAATGAGTGTCGGCAAGGGAAAACCTCGAACCGGCAATTATTTCGAACAGTAATTTATTATTCGGAATAATCGCCGGTTCGAGGTTTTCCCTTGCCGACACTCATATATACTCGCTTCACCATATCTAAATTCACCATATTTAAATTTATTTCTTATTACATATATGTTGTACTTCAAATTAATACTGTAATACTTGTGTCAGGTGTCAGCTGCATAATAAACATTTAACTAGAATTAACAGATCAACCTAAACTATAACCTAATTCTGACTCTAACTTTAATTCGGGCCAAAGCGACATCTATACAAGTGTTAAACTGAGGCACAACATATATACCATAAACTGACGTATACAAAACTCTCCCAGATATCAGACTTCTATGTACTATACCCAGTCTATTACCGTAAATTCTCGAAATAACGGGCATCTACGCGTCATTTTGAATACTTATACATTATTTAAGTACGCCCATGGGCGCCATCTTGAAATAACAGGTTGATTTCTAACATTGAAGAACCTTCTTGATCGACAAAATAGGCAAAACTTCTGCAGTGTGCGAGTTTTTTTTTTTTCTATTGTATTAGTCAATCTTCACAACTAACTAATATAATAAAATTGTCTGCACGTGATAATTGAGGATTCTTCACAATTATCACGTACAATTATTTATTATGAAAGTTAAAATAAACAACTGTATGAGCAGAATTATTATAAAGTGCGCGTTATTTTGGGACGCGCATGAATGTTATTTCGAAACCCAATGTACTATTTTTAGATTTTTAGAGTGCCGATTTTCGAAATATCGCCCATGCCCGTTATTTCGAAAATTTACAGTATATAGATAAAGTTTTGATAAAATGTAAAAGACCCGAATATACAAATAAAATTAAGTATTACTCTGTATCATCCCGAAATAACGCCCCAGGGGCGTTATCTCGAGATGCACAATTAAATGAGGGCTGAGAATTAATTTAATCAAAGATTAATAATTTTTCGTATTCGGTCAAATTAATTCTTAGCTCTCTTTACACTGGGCGTTATTTTAAGATAATACAGTAATGACTATTATAGGTTTTAAAATTAGTGAAACGTACTAGACCGGGTATACGGCAATTTACGAAATTTGCTTAAGTGGTGGCTAAAGAAAGATAATGTATCACTTGAAAGAGAGTTTTAAATTAGCATACTTCATAAATTTAAATAAGTTATTTTGAAATTTTATTTAATTTGTCTAAATTAGTGATGTAACCCAAACATTTAATTACGGTAGTTTTGATCGGGATTTGAACAAAAATATATAAATTTCATGATATCGGCATTGATCAAAAATATAAAATTAGTTTCGGTACATGGCAGAAATAGGACTTGGCTTACATTACTTGTCTAAACTGATAATTAAGGGAATTGATATTCGTACCCCAAATTTGATATTCATACCCTATAAATTAAAATGTTTTTAAACTTTGAGCGAAGATATCTTGATAATTACATTCAATGAACTTTTTTTTGAATGTCACAATTCAGTAAAACTCAAATAGAAAATCATTCATAAAACTTATCAAATAAAAGCTGCGCCGAAATTTTTCTCAAACTTTGAGGATGATATCTCGACAATTATCAAGCCAAATTCGATAAACTTTTTTTTATTTGAATTCTAAGAATTCATAGAATTCAAATAAGAAAAATGTTAATTGAATTTAGCCTGATGGTTACTGAGATACCTTCGCTTAAAATTAAGAAAATTTTTACAAGAGGTATGAATATCAAATTTGGGATATGAATATTAATTTGGGGCATGAATATCAATTCCTTTATAGCTTGTACGTAGTATATCTAAACCATATCAATATGGCTTATGAATTATAGTTGCCAAAGTAAGGCATAAAGTAACTTCATGCAAGACAAAATCCCTGATTTTCCTTAATGGATCGAATTGTTACTACATATTTGGTAATGATTTGATGTAGATAGTGTTGGATCTGTATACTTACCCAGAATTACATTAGTTAACGAAAGTTCTCTCACGTTTTAGTATTTTAACCAAAAAAATAAAATAAAATCAAATAAAATAAATAAAGCAAAATAAAATATAAAAAATGTCATTTTTATTTTATTTATTAAAAGTCAGTTAAAATATTCACGTTTTGTTATTTTAATTAAAAAAATAAAATAAAATAAAATAAATAAATAAAACAAAATAAATATAAAAAATATCATTTTTATTTATTTATTAAAAGTCAGTTAATATATTTTGTTAAAAATCAGCTATTGTATTTTAAACCACGATTTTAGTATCAAAATATTGAATCTAATTTGGTTCAATTTACAGATGCTGAATCTAAATTGGCCATTTGCTAGGAAAACCACTATTTGAAGACAGTGATTTCTTTAGTAAATGACCCAAATCAATCAGTTTAACTAGAAATCGGACATTTCAAAAATTTCATAGAGTAAGGCTTGAAAGCAACAATCCGGCATAACCTCCAATTGGGTGCGGTCTATATCTATGGCCAAAATTTTTTTCCATTTGGCCGTATCAAGAAAATCACTTGTATATTCTACAAAAAGTTTATTTAGGTCTCAAATAGTGTGGTGGACTTGCAACAAGTTTTGGCGAACATCAGAAAGTTTCGGCTATATCTGCAACAATTTTGGCTAGATCTTTGAAGTTTTAGTTGTATATTAAGTCCAGATTGCCAAAAATTCGAATCTGCTGAAATTTTCTGAAAGTAGTCCAAATATCAAAGTTCTTGCTTAATCACATTTACAAATTATTGATACCTTTGCTTTTAAGCATTTGTAACGTGGCCACAATAGCTGAAATATTTCGGCCACAGGTATAGCGCAATCCGACCTCCTGATCTCATTTTATTTTGATACACCAGAAGCTGATCAATGCAGGTGGGGGTTACTGTATATTGCTGTATTATCAACTTTTTTGCAACTCTGATTGGTTAAAATAAGATTTAACCAATCAGAGTTGCAGATTTTGGGAAAATTTTATATTAGAGCCAATATAACCTCTATTAGCATTATTTGGGATCCTGATGCACATATGCAATGTAAACAGTCAACTTTAATCATAAAGAACCTTTCTATAACGAACCCATTCTATAATGAACGTTTTTCAAAAAATTTATTAAAATTCGTCATAGGAACATAGTAAATTACTTTTATAAGGAACTTTTAAAAATTTTACTAGAAGAACTATCAGTTCATTATAAGAAAGTTTCAGGCTGAGAAAAAAAAAACTTCACTAAACCTTATATCGAGAGAATACTACTAGATATACAGTCAACTTTTCTATAACGAACTGAAGATTCTGAAAAAAAAAGCTCATTATAGATAACTGCTATGTTCTCTTAAGAACCCATGACACTTTATACAAACTATTATGAAATTTCCAGAGTTCGTTATAAGAAAGTTCGTTATATCCAGAGTCGACTGTATTTTAAGATTTCAAAATTCTTCATAACATCAAGAGTTTACTATAACAAGAGCGAGCTGTATTTTGAAAATTTGGTTCTTTCCGTTATTTAACTCGTGAGTATATTTTAGGACTCTACAATCTTTTATAGCTTCGTCGAACTATTTATTTATGTTAATTTGGTTGCAATTGCAGATTCGTTTATAAATCCAATTATGGCGAAAGATTTCTATAGCTAGTGATGGGTACAGTCGGTCCTTTTCGGGGATCGTCTAAAGCCAGGCTGTAATTTATATGAATCACGTGACCTTTACCTTACAAATTTATTATTAATCAACTTAAAAACTACCCGGCTTTACACGATCCCGTTTTTGGTTAATCGTTTTATGACTGTTGGCTGTATCTTGTGATCCAGTGATCCAAATTGGATGATCTTGGTACCATTCGATTCGTCACATTGAGACAAATTGAATGGTCCAAAATCATACGATTTGTATCACTGGATCACAAGATACAGCTAACGGTCATAAAACGGTTAACTGAAAATGACTGACCGTACCCATCCCTAATTATAACGAACTTCTTTATAATGAATCGGACATGACAAACTGTGAAAATTTAAGTCATTTAATTCAAGTTTTGCAGTTTATTTTGCGATTATTATTATTAAATCTGTTAATCTGTTTACGATTATTATTTCATAACCAAGTTTGGATTATGTTTAGCTATTTATTTGTTTAATAGTAATGGTTTGGTCTCTAAGACAACAATTAATGTTACGGATTATCGTGAAATCAGATTATCGTGAAATTTGGGGGTCTCGATTTGAAAATATAAGCCCTACC